AGAGCGTCTTCCAAAAAAAAACCCGGAGGAAGTATGCAAATGTGCAGCTCTATCGAAATAAAAATTGTGTGTTAACATACCCTGAGAGTAGGATAAGAAGCAATGGGCTTAAATCACAGCAAGGGAGGTTTAGTTTAGACTTTAGGAAAAACATAACAGTCAGGGTGGTCAAGCACTGGAATAAATTGCCTGGTGAGGTTGTGGAATCTCCATCACTGGAGCTATTTAAGAGCAGGTTAGACAGACACCTGCCAGGGATGTCTAGATAATACCAAGTGCACAGAGGACTGAAGTAATGACCTCTCGATGTCCCTTCCTGTTCTATGATTCAGTGAATCTTGTGGCCTGTGATGCTGTGTTCTGAAAATGCCTCTTCTGCCCTAGAGTTTGAACGAAGACAAGCCAAACCTCCAGAGGCTCCCCTCTCCCGAGAGGAGGAGGCCAGCGACTTCCAGCAAAAAATGGAGGAGACTCGCCAGCCTCCTCCCAGGATGAGACCGGTGCCGTCACTGGTCCCCAGGCCTCCGCAAACCTCCTTGGTGAAGTTTGTGGGTAACATCTACACTCTGAAGTGCAGGTATGTCTGCAGTGAAGGATCCATGCTCCCAATCTGGTGTGTTAGATGGCAGCCAGTCCCCTGCACCTCTCAAAGGCAGTGACAGTGCAGTAGAGTCCCCCTGTGTGAGCCATTTGGTATCTTTTCACAATGATTCCTAATGCCAGTGGCTTTCCCTCAGCCTGCTGTTAGCGCCTTTCCTCCTGTGTATTCACAGCCAGCACCAAACAGGCCTGGCTAAGGGACCCTTCCTTTTAAATTCCTTCACAGCATTTGCCGTGTGTGGGATTTAAAGGAATGTTTGGTTTCCAGAAAGTGCTATTTCTTTCTTCAGTGCTGAGGCCAGTGGTAGCTGCTTCCCCCTACGCTGGCTTCTCTAGATGCCTGACAATCAATGCAAAGTCCTGACAGTTCATTAAGTAGATCCCCAATGTACTGCACTTGTCTGCATCACCTTTCCCCTTTGTTTGCTCCATAGAGTTGGGCTGCTGTGCCCAGAACAATGGGGCTGGTCCCAACTGAAGCCATAATAGAAATAAATAAGCAAGGTCTGATACTGTTCCCCTTTCCCCTCCCCTGGGTGTAGGTTCTGCGAGGTGGAATTCCAGGGCCCTCTCTCCATCCAGGAAGAGTGGGTGCGGCATCTCCAGCGACACATCCTTGAAATGAATTTCTCCAAAGCAGACCCCCTGCGCAGTGAGCCAGAGGCCCCCGAGGTGCAGGCCGTCGCTGAGGCCCAGTAACGGAGCCCGCTTCCCAGCGTCCCTCTGCCCCTCTATTGAACAAGCACGTTTCTAAAGGAACAAGCTGAAGGACTCTGCTGCAGATAGTTACGGAGGGGGGATAGCAAAATTCTTACTCCTGGGCTCTGCAGCCTCCTGGAGTCCAGCTTCCCCTGTACTGACTCACATTGCAGGGGGGCAACATTGAGCACTACATGACACAAGACATTCTCCTGGGGGAGACGGCCATTCCAGACGGGAGCTTGGACTCAACTGGTGCTCCTATGAAGCAGGCTGCACAGAATCCTGAGACGCTTAAGCCATGCTCCCGTCGTAAAGGGAGGGTGTGAAATGAGATTTATTTTTCCCAGTTGGGAACGGGAACTCCCTGCAAAAGCGGGTGGTTGTGGGGATCCCTCTTTACTTCTAATGAATGCAGATTAGTCCAGAGACTCTGATCGCAGGGAGGGGGAGCACACATTTGCTCTGTCATGATTCAGGTTTTGATGAGAATTGCAAATGTGACAGTGCATCAGGCCATCGATAATGAGAGGGGGAGAGAGGAGAAAGCAACTCTGTGGTGGTGAATGTTGTTAATTATGTATATGGCCCTAGAGTTAATGTATATTCAATTCCTTAGACAATGATGAATTTAGTTCACGTAGTTGTCAGAGTCCATTCTGATTGGGTTGCGCTGCATGTTATCCATCCCCTTCCCCCAGACAATGCATCGTTGGTCAACTTCATCCCACTCATTAAATGGCAAGTCATGGATTTACTGATCCTCCACCTGTCTCGTCCAGTCTACATTCATTCTTTCCCTCCCCCAACTCCTTGCTCTCCAGTTGTCCTAACCATTTCACTTGAGATTGTGTAGTGCCCAGTGGTGACCCAACACTAGCGGAAGGAGTGGCGTTAGGCTACACACTGCCTTCCTGTCCTTTTTAGCCTTCGATTGTAGAATGTCTTAAGGTCTCTGCAGTGCGACCTCCTGCCCCACCAGTTTGAAGGGTGGGTGAGTAAACTCCTGACTGAGTTCAGGCATGTGAATCCCAGCCAGGTCTGTCCCAGGAGGCATGACAGCGAGTGTGGACTTCCAGGGTTCTCTGGCAAAGTTCTGAGTGCTGCTAACACTCTTCCTGCCGATTCAGACTCCAAAACAGCAACAGTGCTGGTTGCCAGCTGTCTCCAGGAGAACCTGGATGTTCTCCATGCAGCCCTGGGCGCTGTTGCTTTTTATGTCTAGCTGCATAGAACCTCGACTTTTTTAACTCTAGTTTTGTGTAGAAATAACAAGCATTCATTTTTATTTGGAATCCCAAGCTGAGCAGAGCTTGGAGGGAATTTACCTTTTAACTTTTTTCATTGGGCATATTCTGGTTATTAATGTACCTAGGAATATGTAAATTAGATTAAACTTCTCTTCTGGAAACCAAGCCAAGCACCCTACCGTGTGTGCGTTTATATTATCCAGACAGCACCCCCTTCCCCTTTCTAAGAGCTTTGTATAGAGGACCATCACAATTTGGGCAAAATTCCTGCTTTGATAGATAAACCCAGTTGGGAATTTTCTAAGAATTGTTACCTCATTATTTACTGGCCATAAAAAGTATCAGATTTCTGTACTAGCACAAAATCTCCCCCCACATATTAGTGGTTCAGAATGGAATGGCTGCAGAAGGCAACATTTAAACTAGAGTAACCAAAACCATGTCACCATAATTCATGTTTCTTCATTACCGTGAAATGCACCAGTTCTGGTCCACAGACTCTGATGCTAGAAGGGACTGCTATGACTGGTCTGACCTCCCCATCAGAGGCTGTGGAATTTTTCCCAGGAGCTGGATAAAAGCCAGGGCCGGATTAAGGGGGGGGCTAGCCGGGCAGCTGCCCAGAGCGCCAACCTATGGGGGGCATCTGATGGCATCTGTAAGGGGCACCCGGCCGCACAGTGCCCCTTATAGCTGCCATCAGGCACCGCACGCCCAGGGCCAGGGGTCGAGCAGCACCCCTTATAGCTGCCATCAGGCGCCGCTCACCCGATCGCAGCTGTAAGGTGCACAGCACGCCGGGGGGTGGGGCTGCGCATGCGTCGCGTGCCTGCTGCCCAGGGCGCAGGAATGGCTTGAGCCGGCCCTGAAAAAGCATATCTTCTCCACTGAGCTAATCTCATAAATCAGTGATTAAACACCAGTTTCCAGAAAGGAAAGGGTGCCATTGCCTCCGCTTACTGCAGGTGTCCAAAAGCAGCCAGCAGTAGGTTCCACCATGGACACTCCACAAGTTCATGCAGCACACGACTAAGGCATGTCCATGTTGCAAGGAGCTCAGATGGATAAAAAGGACCCCTAGGAATGCTGGCTTCAGCCTCTGTGCATCTCATCAAGGCCAAGGCCTCTTCCCACACAGAGAATTTCAGCCAGCGTCTTCTGTATCTTGTAGCTGCGCTGGCGCATGTCTGTTCTGCTGAGAGCTGGGCTTGCCTATTCATCTGAGTTGCGATCAGAAATCACGTCTGTTTGCTCTGCTGCTGCCTCCTGCTCCATGGATCTGGGTTGGGCAGAGAAAAAGTCAGATCTGATTTCTCAGCAACCTGAGCTGGCCTCAGGGGGCGTTTCCCACTTCCATCCCAGAGCAGTAAAATCCTCACAGAGGCGGGCCACGCTGGAGTGTTACCTGTGGGCAGCGGGGCAGGGTGAACCCTGGAGCTCTGCCAGAGCCCTCAGCTGAAAACTTAGCAGCTTACCTCCCCCAGCTCCTTGGGCCGGTCCAGCTGCTCTCTTTGGGGAGGGGTGACTTTGGGGAGGGGGTGGGGGGGGGCTTTGCATAATTGTGCCTGCTGGGCCCCATTCTCAGAGCTCCTCTGAACTTTCTTTAAACGCACAAGGAAATCCAACTCCCCAAAGTAAAAGCCTTTGAAAGGGTGAGCTCTGAGCTTATTTTATTCCCTGTGGCTGTCCAAGGGAAAGGGGCCATGATATTGCTTGTAGTTTGGGACTGGAGAAAAGGGCTAAGACTGCACAAGGCAGCCTCTTGCTGGGAGGCTAATAGTGTAGTTAGCAGCACCTTGAGAGCTGGCATTGGGCTCCTTGAACCACCACCACCCTGCTATACCAAAGGCCAGCTGATTGCAGAATTGCTGTGGCTGAGCCTCTACAGCCAAAGACAGGAGCGGAGGGGGGTTGGCTGCATGAACTAGGGATTTTGCGCCTGGCTGGTGGGCAGGACTCTTCCAGCTTGGGTGGGAGTGGAGCCGGTACTTGTGCTAGCCTAGGTAGATCAGGCCATCTGCATCAGGTTGCAGAGCCGGAGCCTGCCACTTGCTCACTTACCACCTCCAGCCACTAGGGAGGCTTGGAAAGAGGCTGCAGCCTCATCTCCTCAGTGCTGTCTGAAAGGAATTCCCACCAGAGCCCCTTTCTAGAGTCCTCTCCACCCCATTGTGCCAGCTGTGCCCAGGGGCTGAGTGCAAAGTGTTTGCAACCCCACACTGCAGGGGTTGGGTGTTCTGCCTTGAAGCTGATGCAGGGCTTTGCTTAGTGTTTGAGAGCAAGCTGTGCCCTGGTTGCACACCCCACACCATACATTGCACCCACTGGCTGGAACGGGAGATGGACGTCAGGGTTATGTCTACACTGGCGGGTTCTTGCGCAAGAACACGTCCACATGGCCATGTGCTTTTGCGCAAGAGCATCCATGGCAGTGTGGATGCTCTCTTGTGCGAGAAAGCTCCGATGGCCATTTTAGCCATAGGGCTTTCTTGCGCAAGAAACCCCTGCCGCGTGTCCACGTTTCCTTCTCGCGCAAGAGAGCTTACACTGTACTGTAAATCTTGTGCAAGATCCCGCCAGTGTAGACGTAGCCCAGGTCTGCTGACATTCTCAAAGGGGTGGAGCTAATCCAAAACCAGAGAAGTGAGTCACATTGCACTGCTGCAGCAAGGACCTAGGGGATCTGATGGTCCACAGCAAATGCACTGGAGTTTTGCCCAGGACAATCCTCAGTCTGAGAAGGGGGCAGGTGCAAAGGCTGAAGGGAGCCACTGTGGCAGAAGGTGGATGGTGCAATCAGAGATGACCTGTAACTTTTAAAGGGGGTCACACTTCAAAGGCAGGAGGGTGGCATGTGTCCAGCTCACATTTTGCCTCTGGTCTCATGCCAGTCCCCCAACACCTCCCATACCCACTCCTAGTTAGCACCACCTGGCCCCACTCCCCTCACCACCTTCCCTGCTCCTTCCATCATCTCCCTAGCGCGGGGGGGGGGGGCAGTCCGGACACCTACTGCTGAGCTGGTAACTGCAGCGATGGCAAGGAAGGGACAGAATTCAGCGGGCTTCCCCTTGCTCGCTCTGGCCCACCTGTGTTGCCACCCCATCTCTTTCCTCCAGGTGCCTTCTAGTGGGAGCATTATGGGCTGGTGCCTTTCTCAGATCTCCCTCTGCCCAGCTCCCACCCAGGCAGAAATCTGGAGGGTGACCCCCCCCCAGCTGCAAGGCACAGGGCAGGGGTGCAAAAGGGCAATTGATGCTTGTGTGAACTGAGTGGGTGGATGGGCAAAGGGAGAGGTGCAAAAAGGTATCTAAGGAAACATCAGTATCAGTGCAACTGACACTCCCATGTTACTTCCTGCTCTGGGTCCGGGCCATTGTGACCGGTATCCCGCAGCCCCATCCAGCACAGGGACTATATGGCCCCACTTCTCAAACCCCAGCTGTGCGTGATGCCCCTAACTCCCAGCAGGGCCCCAAGGGCAGAGGCTCTCTAGTTCGGGGGGGGGAGGGGGCATGAGCTCTGCCCTGCGTACCCATCGCTTTGGCGCATGAAGCCATCCTCAGGTCAGCCCATCTATGCGCGTTCCCCTGGCTGCCTGCTCCCATCCCAGAGGGGCATGCTCAGCCTCAGGCAGGTTAATGCTGCACTGGCATGGGGCCAGCAGGCCTCCAGGTGGGCACAAGGTTGCTGTTTCGTGTCTCAGCCAAGGCAGTGGCTGGGGCAAACGGGAGGCTCCGCTGCACTGTTCCGTCAGCGCCCCTGTTAGTGCGCTGACAGGGCAAGTCGCTCCTGGGTGGGATCCTTTCTCCTGCTGCCCAAGTCACGTGACCACAGCCCCACCTCTGCTTCCAAGGTCTAAACCAGGTGTGGGGCCCCTATGGCCCGGAGGCTGGCCCCACCCCCTGGTGTGCCTGGATCTGCCCAACAAAGCTCAGGGCACACACCCCCAGCTTTGGGGAGCCCCACCCCAGAGCCTGAGGGGCACAAAATCTACTACCCCGGCCCTCCCAGGCTCTGGGGTAAAGGGGAATGGGGGAGTGTCTTTCTGCATCTCAGTCAGGGGCCATGTCAGTGAGGTGGCTTTTGGTGAGGCCCCTGGCTGATTTTTCAGTGACAGACGATTCCCCACCCCTAGTCTAGATCCTTCAGGCTCTGTAGCCACTTGGATGCTTCAGAAGGGACTCAAGGACATAGTGTCTCTTGTACGTGTCGCTGGTGACTCCATGGCCTGCTCCTTCCTTAGTGGCATCCCTCTGTTTTCACAGCTGGCTGGCAAGCTCAGCCCTGCCTTCTGCAGGGAAGCTGCTGCCCAGCCAACTGCAGAGATGGCCTCTTGGAGCCATAGCTGATGCACAGGGTGTAAAGGGCCAGGTGCTATCAGCTCCGCTAGTGCCCTTTGCGTATTTGTTATCAGGCCAGACGGGCATTGCTGAAACTAGCAACTTGACCAGGCACGTGCTCCTCCTAGTTAATCGCCAAGCTGCAGCCTCTCGTTTCTGTTCTTGCTGCCACAGGAGGTCCCAGAAGATCTACACTGCATGTGCATCCTGACACTCTACCTTCCTGCTGGTCCACACCCAGCCCTGCGTCTTCTACCTTGCTTCTGGCCCTGTTGGCAGTATCTGCCTGGGAGAGTTTCCAGCTGGTCCCCCTCCAGGAGGCACTAAATACCTCATCCTCAGGATTAACATCTGCTCAAGGACCATGTTTGTGTTCGGCTCTGGAGTGTGGCCAGCCGGCCAGGAGCCAAACTGCACCCGAGCAAACAGCTGCAACGTGGAATGGTCAGAGCGCAGGGCTCTTCCAGGTCCTGGGAGAGGTACCGAGTCACTGCATCGGGCATGTGTAGTTATAGTGTTTCCTCATTGCCCTCGGGCTCAGGCACAGGCTACACAACATTAGGTCATTGTGAGCCACCTTGGGTCACCTATTTGTGCATCTGCTCACAAATCTGTCTCCGCCAACTCAAGAATACAACTGCAGCTATGCAATAAAACCACTTCCCTGAACTGCTGTGTGCCACCACCAGCAACATACTGAGTGTGACGCTTTGCAAACCGTGTCCACCTCAGCAGTCCTCCAGCAGCTGTCCCACAATGCCCCATTCCCAGCAACAGCTTTGTCACAATTGCAAACTTCACTGCTGAGGTCATGGAGGCTGGAAGTC